CGTCGTCATGAAGATTAATAAAAGACTGAGCTAAAGTGCTGCACCTTTATGCACCGCCAGTGGGTTTAAAATAAAGTAAAAGACAACAAAACTACAAGCAGTTCAAAGTGTTTTCGCCAAAATGTCTGACGTATCGAAAGCACAGTTGGCCAAGAGTGACTTGGAAGTTTCTTCCAAACGAACTATTAAACTGACTGAGAAAGGCTTGATGTCCTATATTAAAACATGCCAAGATAAAAGAAATGCTAAATTGAAGCAAGTAAGACGAATAATGGACGATCTGAATATTTTGATGGAGTCAAATGATAACGTGGACTCAGTGACTTCTCTTCTTGCTACATTTATTCAGTGTTTTCAGGATGCAGAGGTGTCCCATAAAAACTTGACAAGTTTGCCACTTCCATCTGATGAACTCATGAAACAAAATGAACATTTTCAAAATAAAATGAATACTTGCCTTGAGTTTACTGATCTTGTTGTTTTTATTGAAAAGCAAGTTAAAGTTGTATCTGATCCACTGTTTGGTAACATCATGGACCATCAACAGCTCAACTCCAGAACCAGCAGCTTTACCAAACAGAAAAGGGGGAGTAGCTTTGCTACAAATGTCATTGCAGTGAAGAATGAATGTCCATCTGCAGATGAGGGCAAGTCCTCAAGCCTCAGCTGTCTGTATTGTCTCCAAAGTAATCACACTGTTGACAAGTGCTTTAAGTTTAAAGACAAGCCACATAAAGAAAAGGTAAACTTTATTAAGGAAAAAGGCATGTGTTTTGGCTGCTTAAAGGTGGGACACATAAGCAGAGAATGCAGAGGTCGTTTGGTCTGTTCTGTTTGTCACCAGCAGCATCCCAGTGTCCTGCACATCAACGAGGACAGTACAGGAGTTTTCTCCAGACATCCACAGAATCATCTGAGTACCACCTCCACAATGACTCAGACCTGCGGTCATGTCAGGGTCTGTGATGAAGATAACTCAAACCTTTCTATCGTTGCAGTTCAAATCAGGAGTCCAAAAACCAACACCACTGTGCAGACGTATGCATTTTTGGACCCGGGCAGCACAGGAACATTCTGCACTGAAAGTTTGGCCCGGAAGCTGCAACTGAAAGGTAAAAGAACAAGTATTCAGCTGCAAACGATGGGACATAAAGACATTGTGAGTACAAACATCATCTCTGGACTCCAAGTAGCAGCACTTGATAAAAATGATTTCATTGACCTTCCAGATGTCATGACACAGAAACTAATGCCTGTTTCAAAGCAAAATGTTCCACAACAGGAGGACATTGATAAGTGGCCGTATCTCCAAAGCATCAAGCTCCACAACATAGATGCTGATGTGGATCTGCTCATTGGCACAGACGCACCTAAAGTAATGGAGCCATGGGAGCTGATCAACAGTCAGGACGAAGGCCCATATGCAGTTTCGACCCGAGTTGGATGGGTCATCAATGGTCCACTCCGGAGTGGAAGGAACAAAACAGGCTGCCATCCTTTCACTGCAAACAGGATTTCTGTTAAACACCTGGAAACAATGTTGATTGAACAATACAGTCATGATTTCAATGAAACAACATCCCAAGAGCAGATTGAAATGTCCAAAGAGGATGTCAAATTTATGAATATCATGGATAATTCAGCACAATTAAAAAATGGACATTATTATATTGATTTGCCTTTTAAATCTGAAAATTCCATCTTGCCTATGAACCGTTGTATTGCAGAACAACGTCTTCAGAGTTTGAAAAGAAAGTTTAACAAAAGCAGCACCTTCAAGAAAGATTACATTTATGAATGACATGCTATGTAATGGATATGCAGAAACTGTACCTGATCAATTGATGTGCAATGATGGAAAGGTGTGGTATATACCCCACCATGGTGTTTATCACCCCCGAAAAGGCAAACTGAGAGTTGTTTTTGATTGTGCTGCAACATTCAAGGGAACCTCACTGAACTGCCAGCTGCTACAAGGACCTGATCTGACCAACTCGGTTGTGGGAGTTCTTCTGCGCTTCAGACAAGAGTCAATCGCAGTAATGGCAGATATTCAAGCTATGTTCCACCAGGTTCATGTTCCAGAGAAACACAGAGACTATCTTCGCTTCCTCTGGTGGCCCAATGGTGACACCTCACAAGTTCCACAAGAATATCGGATGACTGTACATCTGTTTGGAGCAGTGTCTTCACCAAGCTGTGCAAATTATGCATTAAGAAGAACAGCAGAAGATAATGCCCAGCAGTTTCCAGCTGAATTGGTCAATACAATCAAACATAATTTTTATGTAGATGATTGCCTAAAATCTCTGCCTACTGAAGAGGAAGCAATAAAGTTTGTTCAAGATTTGACAGCTCTTTGCAGTAAAGGAGGATTTAAGCTCTCTAAGTGGCTTAGTAATAGTCCTACAGTTCTGCAAACAGTTACAGACAATATCAAAGTAAAGAAAATGTTGGAAATAGATTTGGAGCTTTCAATGGAACGGGCGCTTGGATTGCAGTGGTGCATTCAAAGTGACTCCTTTGAATTCAAAGCCTCACTTCAAGAGCGGTCCCACACAAGAAGAGGAATACTGTCAGTAGTGAGCTCACTGTATGATCCTTTGGGGTTCCTCGCTCCTTTCATCATCACCGCCAAACAACTTTTACAGGAGCTCTGTAGGAGAAACCTGGGCTGGGATGATGCAATTCACTATCATTTTTCCAAACAATGGACTGACTGGCTGGATGACCTGAAGAGGATCTCAAAGTTTGAAGAGAGCCGCTGTATTAAACCTAAAGATTTCTGTCCAGTTATAGCTCAGCTCCACCATTTCTCTGATGCCAGCCAAGTGGGATACGGTACAGTATCATATATAAGATTGCAAAATGAGCATCATGTGCATCTGTCATTCCTCCTAGGAAAGGCCAGAGTTGCTCCTCTCAAGCAGACGACCATCCCTCGACTGGAGCTTACTGCAGCCGTCCTTGCCGTTCGAATGGACCAACTGCTTCACAGAGAATTACATCTTGAACTGGAGACATCAGTTTTCTGGACCGACAGCACCACTGTCCTAAAATACATCTGCAGCGAAACAAAGAGGTTTCATACCTTTGTTGCAAACAGAGTGTCCATCATCAGAGAAACAACACAAGCTGACCAGTGGAGATATATAAGTTCTAAAGATAATCCAGCAGATGAAGCATCAAGAGGGATGAAAGCAGAGGACTTCTTGAAGCACAGCAAATGGATAAATGGTCCCGAGTTTCTGCTAGAGTCTGAAAATAAATGGCCTAAGCTGGAGGTAAAGTGTGACTCGCTTCCTCCTGATGATCCTGAAATTAAAAAGGATGTGATCGTTAATACTGTTATTGAAGAGGCTAAAGACCCTACCAGTTATTTCATCTCCTACTTTTCATCCTGGTCAAAGCTAAAAACATCTGTAGCTTGGGTTTTAAAGCTCCTCCTTCAGCTATCCCAGAAAAGAAAAGAGTTTTCTGCCATGATGCATCAGTCTACAGAAGATGCAGACACTAAAAAGCAAAAGTTGTCACAAAAGATGCAGCAGTTTAAAGTTATGCTGAAAATCCAATGTTTGACATGTGAAGATCTGGCTACAGCAGAGCATTCCATTATTCTCTTTGAACAACATCACAGGTTTGGACCAGAGATCAACTCACTCAGAGCCAACAAGACCGTCTCTAAAGACAGCCAACTGTATAGACTCGATCCAGTGGTTGATCAAGGAGTTCTCAGAGTAGGTGGACGTCTCAAAAGAGCTGCTATGCCTTCTGAAATTAAGCATCCGGTCATCCTGTGTAAAGACATGCATGTGGCAACATTAATTCTGCGTTACATTCACAATCTGCTTGGTCATGCAGGAAGAATCCACATGTTGTCCAGACTGCGTCAGAGATACTGGATAATTAATGCAAACTCTGCTGCCAGAAAAATCTTGTCTGACTGCGTCACCTGCAGAAGAAATGGAGGTAAGCTTCTGGAACAGAAAATGGCTGACCTGCCACAGGAAAGGGTATTGCCAGACAAAGCTCCATTCACAGATGTTGGTGTTGATTATTTTGGCCCCATTGATGTGAAGAAAGGCAGAAGTCTTCTTAAACGTTATGGAGTAGCATTTACTTGCCCAACTAGTCGTGCTATTCATTTGGAAGTGGCTTATACCCTCGACACTGATTCCTGCATTAATGCAATTAGAAGATTCATATGCAGACGTGG